AAAAAAAAAAATATATATATATATATATATATATATATATAAAGAAAATAAGTCCACCCATAATCCTACCACCTAGAGATAATTAAGGTTTAAGTGAATTTCCTTCTGTGCCTTCTCTAGAAAAATGGATAGATGGGTGACTGATACTATAAATAGTTCTATTTTTTTTTCGCTGCATTTTTATATTATTTCATTTAAAATTCCTCATAAAATTATTTTAATGGCTGTATAATATTCTCTCATATGCATATGTCATATTTTATTATTTACTTCAATCCAGTAATTTCTCTTTAAGGTATTTCCACAAACTGTTTAAAAATTTGGAGGAGCCGGGCGCGGTGGCTCACGCCTGTAATCCCAGCACTTTGGGAGGCCGAGGCGGGTGGATCACGAGGTCAAGAGATTGAGACCATCCTGGTCAGCATGGTGAAACCCCGTCTCTACTAAAAATACAAAAAATTAGCTGGGCATGGTGGTGCATGCCTGTAATCCCAGCTACTCGGGAGGCTGAGGCAGAAGAATTGCCTGAACCCAGGAGACCGAGGTTGCAGTGAGCCGAGATGGCGCCATTGCACTCCAGCCTGGGTAACAAGAGCGAAACTCCGTCTCAAAAAAAAGAAAAAAAAAAAAAAATTGGGGGGAAAATGATGTGAAAAGATGTTTATTATGGTAATTCTAATCTTCTTTGTTCTATTTTAATATCTTGTAGGTTAATATTATTATTGGTAGTTAATGTACTAAAATTTTTACATAGACCTTCACTGTTTTTGTTTCAGTAATTTTTCTTTAATTACAAAGTAATGCATATTTGCATTTTTAAAATAAGCAATACAAAAGTGTCTAAAGTAAACATGAAAGTCCCTTTTCTAACCATTCGTCCTCTACCCCTACCCTTATGGGGCAGCCACTGTAAACAGTTTCTTTGGGGCTTCCATATCTTTTTATGCTAACTCATACTGGGAATAGTTGAATATTTAGAGTTGTTGTATAAATAAAGTTATTAACATTGCATTTCTTTGGAAATATCTACAGCACATTTTTTCCTCTGGTTGATTCTAGCACCTTTCCTCCTTTTCTTTCCATGATTGTTACTGACACAGGATTGTAGTTAAGGAAATAATTCAACTAAGGGGTACATTTATATTCCCATTGAACAAATGCTTTGCCCTGGACCATCCAAGTTTCATTCTTAGGCTGAGAGTGGAAGCTCATGCTGTAATTGGGAAGCCAAGGTGGGTGGATCACTTGAGGTCAGGAGTTTGAGACCAGCCTGGCCAACATGGCTAAACCCCATCTCTACTAAAAATATAAGAAAAAAGTAGCCTAGCCGGGCGCGGTGGCTCAAGCCTGTAATCCCAGCACTGTGGGAGGCCGAGGCGGGTGGATCACGAGGTCAAAAGATCGAGACCATCCTGGTCAACATGGTGAAACCCCGTCTCTACTAAAAATACAAAAAATTAGCTGGGCATGGTGGCGTGTGCCTATAATCCCAGCGACTCAGGAGGCTGAGGCAGGAGAATTGCCTGAACCCAGGAGGCGGAGGTTGCGGTGAGCCGAGATCGCGCCATTGCACTCCAGC